GCAGTGACTGATTTTTTTGGCAATCTAGGTAGTTTGTTCTATACCCCGGCGCGATTTCAGCAACCCCTTGTGCCCCAAAGGCCGCCTGGCGTCCGGGGAGACGGGGTGGCGGGGGTGGGTGGGGTGCCGACGGAAAGAGACGCAGGGCCGTGGAGGAGGCGGCGGCCGCGGCGGCCACGAAGGCTTTGGCGCGGCGGCCCAGCGGCCAAGCGGCCGGGTGCGCCGCCTTTGATCCGAGATCCAGCTGAGCCCCGTGCTCAAAACCCGGGTAGATGAAGGTTAGGGACAATCTCCTGGCCATAAATAGCTGCGGATATCCGCCTTCTGAATTATTGAAGCATGGTTCTGGGTCGACCATATTAGTATATACCGGGTTTTGATTTTGACTCAGCTAAACAACGAGCTGGGTATGGGTCAAAATTGAATCACCAAAGAAACCACAGGGTTTAACGGCCTTTCGATGTACCAGGGCAACCCGTTTTTGGGTACCTATGTTTCACCCACAGGTCATACCCAGCTGATTTAGAGGATCCCCCTGAGCAGAGCTAAAACGTCAAACCCCAATGCCAGCTGATTAGATCCCCTTGTAAAGCAGCTGGTTTAGGGATTGTGGCCATCTCTGGGATCTCTTTTGAAGTAGGTGTTCATAGCGAACAATCCGTTCAAAGCCAATTGCCTCGCTTTTACAGTCGTTTAGCAGAAACTAGACTTCAACTTTCACATTTGGAAGGGGCACAAACTGTGGAGAATCGGAAAAAAAACAACACAACATGATTGATAGCCACATGGCCGCAGAGTGCCAAAGCATGCCAGCAGCTACACGTCCTTTTGGTATATGTCAAAATAGGGGAGCCCCCCAAATGGAGCTTTGTCTGTGGTTTCACTTTGGCGTACCCTCCGAAAAGCATTCACAACCCTTTGGTCAAATGGATTCACTGTCCAGTGGCCCTTTAACATTTGCTTGGCGCATGTTGTGCTTTGAGCGCAGCTTGTCTTGAGGTTCAAGGACAGCGACTAGCGGGACCTAACTGAAAGACTATTACTTCGGGGGCCAGCGGCGAGCAAATTGAAGCTGCTTTACTGTGTACTGAGCCTTGCTGGTCCAAGCCTTGCCCGTGAGGACTTGATACATGGGGGCATGCCAAAAAGCAGGGAGCCTGTTCAGTGGCTGGAATCGTATTAGCTTCCTTCTTAACTGGATCCCATTTTTGGGATGTTCAGCGGGTGGCTGGGTGCTTAGTGGATGTCAGGCACGGGCAGCCCTGGATTTCGTATTCTTTGGGGGACACCCAGGCAAGACCAACGAATAGGCCCAGTGTGTTCGCCAACTTTCTCTTTTCTTGCCAAGCTGTATTTGAGAGAGGCTAAGTAAGGAAGAAGCCCCTGGGGAAGCCCTGAGTTCCCTCAAGAGTTTCAACGTTGAAGCGGACCACCGCAAGGGCTCTCAAATAGCTGCACATGGCCCAAACATGGCACGTTCGACAGATTTGGGCTGGGGTCTTCCGGTATTCTCCTGTTCTTGAATCCTTTGAGTCCCAAGTTCAACCGGGCTCAGGCACAAGCCGAAGAAGCCTCGAGGCAGGCACATGGGAGGGTGCGACGCACTGGGAGCAAGATGAAGAACCCTCTCCGAGAGGTAATCTGAGGGAGCGCCCCAAGCTTTAAAAGCGATGCTAAAACTAAAAGATCTCACTTCATGGCAGAATGGGGTTCCCTTGCGGTTTTGGCGACCACCAGAGTTAACCAGAATGACCCCCACTCGAGTCTCCAGATGTTGGACCCCCCAGCTTCTCTCTCATGGGACGTTTCCAGGCAAAAGCAGGGAATGGACACCTACATGTTTTTTTGTCGCCGTCCGGCCGCCTTTAAGTGAAGCCAACTCCCCCATTTTACCAACTCCCAAACTTCCTGGAAAAGCATCCTTCCAAGGGGGCATCTCCCATTTCGTGTGACCTTGGGGCAGCGCACCCTCATCCATCCAGATTCTGTCCTTTGCCCGCGTGCGTATCCACACCACAGGGGGGATTCGCCTTTAAAGGCACCAGGAAGAACACTCTTTTGACCCCCCCCACCCCCCCCGCCTGTCCTTGCAGAAAGAAGTCTTGTGGAGAAAGCATCACTTGCCTTGGTCAACCACTACACCAACAAACCTGCAAAGAAACATGAAACACCCTAAAGGAGATGATGCGAGGCTTAGGGTCTTATTTTGGGGTCGGGGAGGGGTTGTCCACCCGTGCCTCCCCCGCCATCCCCCACCCCTGCCCGGGTTGCGCCTAGGCGCCGCGACGAGCTCTTGGAACGTCTGACCCAGGCGCCCGAAGTTCCTCAAGTCGACACAGCTTGGATCAGACTGCTTTGCAGGGAATATACAAACATGCATCGCAATGTACATCTATTGGCAAGTGAATTCATAGGACATAGAATATCTGATCGAATTCAGGATAAGAGGCATGGGCAATATATCATATATAGTATCGTATGATAATATATTCAGAAGTTGAATTCGACCATTCTGGCTGTGCGCCAACAAACAAGCTGCCATTCAAATGTGTTTGTTCCATGTTGGTTTCCTTTAGATATGGTGCTCCCAACAGGGACAAAAGGGCTAGTGTTGACATGAACTGGAGACTGGACCTCAGGATTCACTGGTGTGTCCTCTATGCTTCATGTCATGCCCTAGGGACGGATCAGCCGGGCATTGCCCTTTTTCCAGTGAAAAACGCGGGAACGGGCAGTAAACGGGCACACCCGCCTCCTTTTGCAACCCCAAAAAAGGTGTGGATGATTGGTTTTCTTTTGGGTTTGCTTTCCTGAAGGCCAGTTTTCTACTGTTAACGGATCTGAGCAGAGGAATCAGCACGGCGTCCTTTGTTTCGGCCAGAAGGAAGGGCAGATCCGGGGTGCCGACCCCTGTTTCTCGAAATTCCGAGTCAAATGGCCAGCTGCTCTCCTTTTAGCGGGAACATAAATATCGGAAATCCAGGCTTCTTAATGGAACCTGAGAGGAGTTTTATATCCTTTCCCCAAAGTGGACCTTTGACAGGCTCCAGTTGACGGTGTGTTGCTTGTTTGGCTTTGGGTTTCCCGTTTTGCATCCAGAGTTTGCGCAGGGAGGTAGAAGTGACATGATGGCCGCTGAGTCGCAGGTTGCGCAAAGGGTGTTTTCTTGGCGGTCGGCGGTGGTCATAAGCTGACACTGTTGCTCGCACTGTTCCGGGTCCCATCTTCTTGGCGCTATAATTGTGTCTTTTTGAGGGTTGACTGGAACATATTAGCGCCTCACTACTCGGTGGTTTGGATTGGTGATTTGGTGGTTAAAAGGGGGGCTTCCCATTTTAACCTCTACAAGAGTCAGGGGTTCAAATCCCCAAACCACCAATCCAAACCACCAATTCAGGGATATCTGATGTTGGTTGCTCCCATTTCAGGAGGTTCGGGACTTGAAGGAGAAGCTGGCCAGTGTGAACCAAGGCAGGACACGAAACAAACGCATGGCAGCAAAGACAGCAAATGTGTGTGTGTGTGTGCCATGGTCAAAAGACTTCTTTTTCGGTGTGGTAGGGATGGTGATCATGTGCCACTTGGAGATGGTATTTTCCCGTGATCTCTGGTCTCTTGTCCAAATGACATGACCAGGCCAATCGGCCCGGATGTAAAACGGGATGCGGACAAGCTCCGGGAACATTAGACGTATTTCTGTCGGCCATGTGTCACCTTGTGGCCCACCTCATGCGGGTGTCTCAACTTGGAGCGGCTTTTCGTGGGTGTCCATGTTTGAGCTCAAAGCAAGCAAAACGGGCGAAGGCCTCCTGATTTTGAGGAGTTTGGGCGAAGTCACAAGATCAAAGGTATCAATCTTCAGGGGTTAACCTGGCTCACACATGACTGTCAACGTAGGCACTACTCCTGCTGGTTGCAGGTTGGCCCACAGGAGCTGACAAATGTTTGGCCGTCCACTATCAATTAGGGGACAAGAACATGAAGTGCTGGTTTGTTTCTTTGTCTGTTTGTTTGTTTGCTTGTCTGCTTATCTGTTTATTTGTTTTTCTGTTTGTTGGTTTCTGCGGGAGGTCCCTTGTTGCAAGCTGGTGGAATAAGGCATCGGGACGACATCATGGGCGAAGGGGGTTGCCTCAAAAAAATACTTGGCGGAGTCAGAGTGAATCCGAGCGATATTGAATGAAGATATGACTGACTGTATTGAGTGTTGTAACAATCAAGTAGTTTGATGCTCAAGATTTAAGCGTACAACACATCACGTGGATAGTTTTACATTACCTTGCAAGCATGTGTAGGTGTAGGGGTAGATGTAGGTGATGAGGAGTGCGCATTGTTAGATACTTAGATTGAAGCTGTCCTGTTTTTTGCCGCATACTTGGGGTTGGTGTCAGGTTCTCATGACCCTGCAGAGGAAGCTTGATGTACGGCTTTTGCCTTTGGCGTTCTTCTCTATGCATCGTGGCCCACAGCTGGGAATTTGGCTTGCGCGTGACAACTCAGGAGGTATTTGTCATGGCTCACAAATTGCCGGCGGCTCCTGACAGTCTGGGTCTGCTGCATCCCTTGTCCGCGTGCTTGTGCTCGAGGGTGGGGGGGTATTCAGACTGGTTTGCTTTCAGCCTCCGTCCCTGTTGCATTGCACCGGTTTTTAGGCCGGTGCCCAATTACTCAGCTTCCTGTTCCTACTCTTCGATCCAACTCACTCAAAAAGGACTAGCCAACAAAGACTTTGTTGCCCCAGAGCCGTGTTTTGACAGTTTCTTGGGGGATCAAGATCGTTTCCCTTTATCTACCAAGGGGGTGACTAATCCGGCCAGTTCCCTCTGGCTGGATCTTTCCATTCTTTTCCCCATCTGAGGGTTGCTCAAAGAAGGGGGTTCCCTTCTGCATTTCGGAGCCTGTTGTGACCATTACAAGAGCAAAACGAAGAAAATGAAGGAAGGGGAGGGTCCAAATGGACACGTTTTGTGGGCCAGGGGCTCACGCTTTCACCGCGCCCAATGGCCACCCGGCAAGCAGTTGGACGGAGCCGGACCGAGCAAAAGAATTCGAAGGGTTTTCCTTCGTTCAGTTTGTATATGATAGATTCCGCAGGAGGAATTGTCTATCTCCAGTTTTTCAGGAACGCAGATTTGCTGGGTCTTGGGGAGCAACTTCGCCAGGAAGAACAAACTGTACTTCTTTTTGACTTGCTTAACATTTACATTGCACAGAGTATTCTATGAGGAGACCTTGGGACGACCGGATTTGGGGGATGTCCACGGCAAGATCCTTCTCTTCAGAACATGCTGAAACATGACCCGTTTTTCAATCCACGGCAGAGGATTGCAGGATCAACCATTATAATGATCTGATAGCAATATAACATGAACGGGATGTTCCGTTCTGAACAGAGCAAATGGCTGGTTCTGGTACGCTAGTGTTGCTAGCAGTGCTGTTTGGTTTCATTTATCCCAAGGTGGCCAGCATGATACTTGCGATCCAGCGCAGTGCTGCCTTTTTAAAGACATGGATCCCTGACGCAGTCTACTGAGTACGATATTTTCATTTTTTGCTGGCGCACGAGTGACGGTGCGTGGACCAGGTATGCGCAGGAAGACATGGAGGATTTGCTTTGGGCAAATGAGGCCGAACGAGATCCGACATAGTGGACTCGGTCTGTGTGCAGGCATGAGCCTAGGATAAGGCCATGGCAAGACCCAATGAAGCTATCAATCCCCCAATAGACGCCCCCTGCCCCGGGTTGTCTGCGACCATTTGGCCCTTGTGCTCGTTTTCAAGGCGATCGGGTTCACCATGGAGTGCTTCGGCAAAAAGACGGACACCCATGTCTTGGTGGTTCCCAGCCGTCTCCTTCTTCTTCGCTTTTCAAGAATTAGTGGGGGTTTTCATTTAACCCACTAAAAATTAGTTTTAGCGAGGGATCTGGGGACAGCCCAGATGTGTTTGCATGTCTACACTCAGCAACCGACAAGAAACCAGATGGCGAAAGCGCCGAGGCGGCTTTGGTGATGCCTGGGCTGGCTCGGCTGGGGCTCCACTTCCGAAGGAAGGCAGGGGCCCCACGTTTTGCTCACCAACCCATCCCGCAAACAATGGGGGCGTCTAGCAAGTGCTCGGTTCACTTGCATGCGAACATGACTGGCACTAAGAAAGGCATCCCGTGCATCAGGTGCTGAAGGGCCGATGCCCAGAAACCATGATACGTCTCAGAGCCCGATCCGATGAAGTGTGCGTTTGACGCAACCAACTGGGTGGACGGAGGGGCAGATGACCATGCCAAACTGTTTGAACACAAGCATATCAAGCATAAAGGACCCTGATATTCATGGAAAGGAGTGGTTTGCGCTTCATGTGCGGAGGTCAGGAGGGTTCTTAGACCCATGGCGTTGCAAGTTGCAGCCATCCGCCAGGTGGCCACGCCTTCCACTCCGGAGGCCTTGGAATTTTGGACGGCCGCTCTCCATTCCCATGGAGGGGAACCCCCAAAAAGAGGAACCCTTTTGGCCCCTGATTGGCCTTAGTCGCTACTAGGCCCTCTTGGGATTATGGGGCCATCTATGAATGGGGGCCCTCAAGAACCATAGGATCCATGGACGGTATTTTGGTTTGTTGCAATGCCTGTCTTCCACGTTAGCTAGACCTCCAGAGCTCCAGTGGTGAGCTTGTTTTTTTCCCTTGTGATCCGGAGGGTGTTTTTTTTGCTTTGAATGATCAGCCCCCGAAAACAAGGATGCCCCTTTTTCCCAACCCTGGAGGTCTAGCTCAAAACCCATTGTGAGCTTCCATGAGTCTTGAGTGGTGCACATATCTTTAGCAAGGAAGTTGGTGATTCCTTCAACTCCCCTCTCGCTATGACTCATTGACACTGATTTGCAATGCTACCTCAAAGCGCAACCCCGAGCCAACCCCAAAAGAGTCAGTCCCAAGTAAACTTTGATTGCAACAAATTCTTACGCCGCAGTCCTCTGCACAAGAGTTAGTATCAATTATGTTGCCCATTGCCCTCTCGCGGGCCAAAATGCTTCAGACTTCCTGTTGATCAAAGGTCTTGCTCCCTTACCAGAAAAGGTCAGCCATTCAATTGGCTACGCAGATTGGCTATCGAGGTTTCGGCAGCCAGGACCGTCTGTCACTGATGGATGTGTCAATCCTTTAAATGGCATGCCACAACCAGCCCCGTGGAGCCATGTTTGTTTCTTTCAAGCGTCCAGATAGGTCGCTACCATGTGAAGGGCTTGGTTTAGCTCGCTAGGCCTCAAGGCAGCGTTGCAACTAGGTGGCAGGTGCCTACACGATGTTTCCTTTGAATGGGTCCACACCTGTGTGTGAGTTTCCATTTGAGGAGGAGAGGGTACTTAAGTTCTTGAACTCATAGTGTCGGGTGCTTTGACAAATAGACAAGATCTGCCTGGGTGTTTCCTAAACCAGGGCAACTCTTCAAAATGGCTGATTTGCCTTTGTGTTTCCTTATCAGAACGCCAAAGGGATCTTCCCCAATTTTCGGACCTTGGATGATCCATTGCAGGAGAGGTGTGGGGGGCTCCGCCCAGCCAGCCGCGTGGCCGCAAAGGGGCCGGCGATGTCAGTGGGGCTTATCCGCTTTGGGGTGCTTTGCGGTTGTGTTGTATGGGCCTGCATCTTTTGCTTTTTGGTTGTGTGATGTTGTTCTCTTTGTCTCTCTCTCTCTCTCAACCAAAAAGACCAACAAAATCAACAATGACCACAACACGATAAGAACAGCACCACCAACGGCAGGCATAACAAGCGCAAACAGATCGTCGCGCCATAACCACAATATACAGTTGTTCACGGCCCCCCAAACCACAAACAGTCATCCCTACACTTTGTTGGTAGAGCATTGCAGTGGTGGTTGGTCCACAATTATCCGCTGTTTGTGATGTTCACATCCACGGGTGTCTCTTCCAAAGGGAACACCCCTCTATGAATAGACCACAACAACAAGCCTGGGACGCAACGCGGCTCCTCAAAAGATACAACTTGGCCATTGGCAGCATGAGCATTCCCACTATTTGGACCGAAATAAAACCACCTTTTTGTTGCCGCGGGGGGTGGGGGGGGGGGGGGTGGGGGGGATGTTCACAAGGCATTGCCGTTTCCATACTGAAAGGAGACCATGTGAGCAATACGTTGAGCCTTTGTTCTCGTTGACCCTGAGTTCGAGTGGCGAAATCTCAGGCCTGGCAGCCGGCAGGCGAGCAAGGACTCGGGGGAAGTGACGGGGATGGCGCGGGCTGTTTAAAGGCAATCCTTACAAGGGTGAAAGTAGCTGGCAAGAATCTCCCGGTTTCGTTTTTGGTCCCCTTTGCTTACTTGTGCCATATACGTTCACCCTAACGTCATCATGGAAGTGGACAAAAGGCCTTTTGAAGATGGAGCTCTTTGAGACTTCCGAACGACTTTTGTGCACTTTCATGAGGGAAGCTGTTAGTGGTTTTCAAAGGGCTGCCCTTTGTAATTAGCGGATTCCCGCAAGGGATCATGGATTAGGATTGGTTCCCTCCATTTTAAGCAGCCCTGCTAATAAAGCCCAAAGAGTCTTTCCCCTTACAGCCCTTAGGCCGCACCATAGGCGTTCTATCCAGGTTGCTCAAGTTGAGTCGTCGAGTTTAGAGGACTTGCAGTTGCTGTGTCAAAACGATTGCTTAGCGCTCGTGGACCACTGAAGAGTGCGCACATGATGGGTCTCTTGTCCGCAACGCCATCAGTCGATTTAGCCGCTTGGAATCATAGGTTAGTTAGCACCCCCTCCGTATCCCCCCCCCCCGAAATGTGATTTTGAGTGGCTTCGGGTCCAAAAATGAAGAGAGACATGCATGTTGAATCTTGGGCTCAGTAGGGCTTAGTAGGCCTTAGTAGGCCTTGGTAAGGCTTAGTAAGGCTCAATCATGTTTTTTTGCTTCGAGTGCTGGCAAGGCTCAGCAACTCTCAGTAAGACATGGCCACCACTCAAAATTGATCATGAGTGCTACTGAGTCTTCCTGAGTAGTTGGAACGGCAATGATTCCTATGTGTGCTGTCATTTTCTTAGCGGTCATTTGTGCTGCAACTGCGCCTCGCACTGAACACCTGTGAATTGAACATCAGCGGATGTAGACCTAGTAGCACCCAAAAGCACTCAGTAGCAATCAACAAGCGCTCACTAGCGTTCAGAAAGCACTCAGTAGCAGTCAAAAGGCACTCAGCAGCACTCGGCATCACTCACCAGCACTCAGTAACACTCAGTAACACTCAGTAACACTCAGTAACACTCAGTAACACTCAGTAACACTCAGTAACACTCAGAACACTCAGTAACACTCAGTAACACTCAGTAACACTCAGTAACACTCAGTAGCACTCAATTTCAACCTAAAACAGCACATTTTCGAAATCACGGCTCAGTAAGCACGAAGTACTGTAGCACTCGGTAACACTCAGTAGCACTCAGTAGCACTCAGCAGCACGCACCAGCGCTCAGTAACACTCAGTAACACTCAGTAACACTCAGCAACACTCAGTAACACTCAGCAACAATCAGTAACACTCAGTAGCGCTCAATCACAACCGAAAACAGCACATCTTTGAAATCACGGCTAAGTAAGCACTCATCAGCACTTGGCAACACTCAGTAGCACTCAGTAGCACTCAGTAGCACTCAGTAACACTCAATCACAACCTAAAACAGCATTTGTTTGAAATGCCGGCTCTCTGAGTACTCAGTAGCACTCAGTAGCTCTCAGCAGCACTCACCAGCACTCAGTAACACTCAGAAAACTCAGCAACACTCAGAAACACTCAGCAACACTCAGTAACACACAGTAACACTCAGCACTCAATCACAACCTAAAACAGCACATTTTGGAAATCACGGCTCAGTAAGCACTCAGTAGCACTCGCGAACACTCAGCAGCACTCACTCAGCACCCAATAGCACTCAGCAGCACTCACCAGCGCTCAGGAACACTCAGTAACACTCAGCAACACTCAGAAACACTCAGCAACACTCAGTAACATACAGTAACACTCAGTAGCACTCAATCGCAACCTAAAACAGCACATTTTTGAAAGCCCGGCTCTGCAAGCGCTCAGTAGCACTCGGTAGCACTCAGTAGCACCCAGGACCTCTCAATCGCCCCCCAGAACACAGCACATTGGCGATCCAGGCTCAGCAAGTATTTAGTAGCACGCAATGACGCTTCGAGCCCCAGGCAAGTTTACAGAAATCCAAGCTTTGCTATGCAAAATTGAAGCAACCCCCCCCCCCCCCCCACATGCCAAATTCTTGCTGGCCTCAGAAGTGCTCAGCAGCACTCGGTGTCTTACTGAGATTTTTGACATTTGGGAAGGGGGGATGCGGTCATACCATGTGGACGTTGAACGCCTGGAAAGCTGGAGCACTGCCATCCAGAAGAAGAGTGCTTCTTGGAGGTACCTTTGCCCAAGGAGTGTGTTCAACGAGCGTCTACAAATCAACCCTGCTTCAACATGGGGCCCCCTGCTTTCTGTGATGAAGCGAGCCCCAAAGGCAAGCTTTTACCACTCCTCGTGTTGCACCAGGAGAGCGACCGAGGCAGGCGTCGCGCGGAGGAGCCCAGAGTACTTTCATGGGGCAAAGGAGGGGGATTCAGGAAATAGTATGCTTATATAAATAAATATGCATATTATGTTCATTGCTTTCCCCAAAGCACAAAAAAGGGTAGAAACCACTGCACATACCAGTAAATTCTTCAAACAGGTAGGTCCCTGGGGGGGACCATAGATATATATATATATATACATATACATACACGAGGGCCTTTTCTGTTAGCTCCTTGAAATGGCGGCACAAGGTGGCATCAGGGTCGAACAAGGGGCCAATTTTTTGACAACCACCCCATGCATGTGCATATTAAACAAAATGTGTACCTATACTCATACGATTGTTGTTCACAGTCCCCTTTTCATGCTCATTTTGCTTTGAGGGAAACCACCATTTTCGGGGTCCATCCCCCACCCACCTTTGAGGTGGTTCCCTATTAGACTTAAACGCAATATCGTCCCCCTTTGTGAATCTGTGTTAGCCATGTAGGATGCTGAGGGTCATTGTGATGGTGGACGTCCTTGCCCTTGCCCACTAATGTGTCAGCACTTGCGAATTAGTTCAGAGGTCAGCACGTGTTTGATCCAACTTTCTTTTGGGGACTCTGGATTTTGTAGGTCAGGTTTCCTTTAGCTGTGTGCTGGACGTGTCCCATTCGCACCCCAAGCCAAAGTCTGGCCTCAGCCACTTTAGACCGAGCTCCCGGTTCGCTTCAGGAGCCGAATGCATGGAGGCTGGCAGGGTAGGTTCTGCGCGGGTGTTGTGTTTTCTTCTTTTTTTCTTTTTTTTTGACTTGGAGACGGCGGATCCACACTTTGCGCTATGTAGGGCCATGCTATGTTGGGATCAAACGGATAAATGGGGCCTTTTACGAGTTTATGAACTTGGCATACGCTCGTTTGCTGTTCGCTTGACACATTGGGGGCCTGCGATTCGTATATGAGTACAGGTGACCGTGGCGCCTCTCTGTTGTACTGGCTGGGGGGGGGTGGCAGTTGCGGACTTTGGAAGGATTTCTGTGGGGCCATTTTCATCCAATAGCCGGTGCTCACAGCTGAAACGTGTATTGCTTAATTCATGTCCACCCTCAAAGTGATTTGGATACATCAATTTGCGCCACGCTGCACCAGTTTCCAACACGTGGATGCGTCCAAGGATGGCTGCCGTGAGAGAGGGAACGTTCCGCGTTTCCCGCCACCCAGTTCCCATGAGCTCCAGGCACGCTTTGGTTCAAGCGCACATGCAATCCAGCAGGCAAGAGCACCAAGCTGCAGAAGCTGCAGGCGCGGGTCGCGGGGATGTGGCCAATGAGGGCAGGCGTAGTATCTCCGCGTTGTGGAGGCATGGCTGTTTCCAAATTAGGGTTTTCGTTGGCCGCAGCAATCCACCCACCCACCCATCCATCCATCCATCCATCCATCCATCCATCCATCCATCCCTCCATCCAAATTAGGGATCCGCTTTTTGGACGGTTTCAAGAGCAAAGCAGAACATTGATCACTTGCTGGTGGAAGGGGGCGGGCCACGTTTGACACACTTTCGCCTTTAGATCAGCAATTCAAGCATGAACATCAACGGTGTCAAGAGGGCGGCAGATGATGCGGGGTGCTACCCCAAGTTCTCATGGGCACAAAGCACTGATTGAAAGCGGCTGGTCATCAACCTGGTACTGAGGCGTTTGAGAAGCTCCCAGTTGCCGCCGTCAAGCGAAAAGAAACGTCCCATCAAAGTCTTGGAAGCTGTTCAAGCAGTCTGACTTTAAATGTCCCAAAATGGACCTTCAAGTTTATATGTACTGCGATAACAGGACAAATCACACTCACACTGCCAACCAAGCGGTCAAACAGAACAAAAATGAGCAGCATCTGTGTATGTGTGTGATTCTAAACTAGGGATCCAAGCCCGAGCAGCAAGTGTGTTTGCATGTGCGTACGTGTGCGCCGGCGATCCAAAACCAGGGGCCCAAGGAGCGGTTTCAAGCGGGAAGCTGAGGGACCTGTTGCCGAGCCCTTCTGCCAGGACCAAGCGATTGGCCACAGGCACGGCGCTCACCGATCCGGGTAAGAAGGGCTGTTCATGTGTGCCATTGTCAAAAGACACCTGTACTTGGGATTAACGGGCATGGTCTTCCACCTGGTTGTTGGGATGATTCCTATTCAAGGAGCTGGTCATGGCCATACATGGCTCATGTGTTTTTTTCAGTCCAGCCGGAAACAGCACAGATTTTTTTCGCTGAGATTTGATTTGTGCTGCCTTGCATGGCTCAACTGTAGTAGTGGCTGCAACTGCAGTTTGTAGCTTTGAACCATTCTGATTTTCGTCAGTGATGTTTCTTGGCGGTTACTCAGTTTTCTAAGCTTTGCCCAGAGGTTCGGTCGGTCAGTCACAACTCACGCCCTGAGTTCCAAGGCTTAAATCCACTCGGGAAGTGAGACAAAACTAGGCCCGAGGTGGATTGCTACCCTTTCTACCATGGTTTTGCCATGATCATCATCGGGGCAACCTGGACCTGCTTACAAAGGGCCCTGACCACTTGGGACTTTGCACATCCCAGCTGGGCTAGCTGACTTAGAGGAACTCGATTGGGAATTGTTGCTATCACGATGTTTACTCGGCTAGTTTCATAGCCATGCTGAAATCGTTCAAGCTCCAGAACCACTGGATGTAATGGCAATGCTAGGATGCACCCAACAGCAGGGCCAAGGCTTTGCAATATGAAAGCGGAGCTGTTTTGAGGGGGGACCATTGATCTCAGCAGATTTGCTGGTTGACTCAGTGGAACCCAATTGAAGCAAGTGAATCTTGGACGTTTCATTTCAGGAAGCCTGAAAAGCGGGTGTTCAGCACAGCACCCTGACTCCTGACCATAGTCAAATTCGGCCAAATTGCTACCATGTCTTGGAGCATCCCATAGCGGCTGTTATTGCTATTTTGGATAATTATCTAATAGCCATGGGCAAGTTTATGCTGGACGACCATTTGATGGAACAGCAATGCCAGAAAGGGCGGAGGGATGTTCCGGGTGATCCACTGTTTTGGCTGGCCATGTTGCCGTTCTTGTATTCTCTTTTTCAGCTTTCCGTGGATACCCCCATAGACTGACTGGCATTTGCATTACTGCTCACATAGGCCGATGCTTGGTGGGCGCCCCAGTCGGTGGGTAGAAATCAGCGCGCCCAAAAAGGTATCCAGAAGCAATCCACCCAGTTGGAGGGAAGTCACGGCCATTTCGTTCGCAATCTTGTTTGATCTGCTCTGCGAGGGGCGCTGGTAGACTCTGTGCGCATATATGTGCCTTGTGGATTGGTGTTTGTACGAACGGTAAATGAACGACATGTTTCGTTTTCGGCCAAAAGATGATACTTCTGGCATGATTGCACTAAGATGCCACTTTAGAGCTGGCAGAAATCTGAGCTTGCTTTAACTGTGGACGGCCTGGGCCATGTAACAAATGCCGGGGTCAACTCACTTGACAGCTACACCGAGCTGTGTTTAAACTTGTCATGATGCTCTTTGTCCTTTGCCGGCGTCGAAATGCAGTGGCTTGTTGGCAATGAAGTCCCCGCGCCTTGGAGGCTTCAGATCTGTTTAAGACTGGGTCCTCATGCTTGGAGGGAGCTGGCGTAGATGCTGGCTAGTGCGGCAATATCGACACGATGACGCGCTTCCTGCATCCCTTTGTTGGCTGCGCTGTCAAATCAGACTTGCGTCAGATGATCGCACAGGAGCATGGCAAGTGAGTTCCTTTGGTCGGGTCAAGACTCTCCAAGATGTCATTCATCATGGTAGGCTTAGTGACTATGGCTATAGAGAGGCAGCCATCAAGGGCAACACATACAGCGTGCACCGTTTAGTGGCAAGAGCCTTTCACGGACCGCCCCCGACGGCGCAGCACACGCAAGTGAATCACCTGGACAGCAACCGGGAAAACAACTGTGCCAGCAACTTAGCATATGTCACGCCGTCTGAAAATGCAAATCATGCGCGTGCGGCGAGAAGCTGGACGAGAAGGGCAGGCTCGTTCAAAAAGGTTCATTGTCGGCGTGTTGGCACAGTGCAATGGTCAAGCTTTTCTTCTCAGTTCGACGCTGCTTGTGTGCTCGGGCTGGACCAGTCTGCAGTGAGCAAGTGCTGCCGCGGACTCCGGCAGCATGTTGGCGGCTACCAATTTGAGTTTGCTGAAACCGTACCATTCGCTGGAGAGCTCTGGCAAGCAGCCAGGTATCCGGGCATCGCACAAGCAATCTCAAATTGGCAGGTGAGCAGCCTGGGTCGAGTCAAGACTAGCAATGGGCGCACCACATTTGGAACTCTCAACAATGCAGGGTATTGTGTGATACGTCATCAGCTAGAGTCTGACGGGCCTTACAAACAGTTTAGCATGCACAGACTGGTAGCAGCCACTTTCTTTGGACAGCCAGTCTCGCGAGAGCTGCATGTGAACCACCTGGATGGCAATCGCTCAAACAACCGCGTGGAGAACCTGGAGTATGCGACTCCAGCGCAAAATGTTCAACATGCATATTCCCTGCTTGCTGAGAAAGTCAGTCGACCCAATCGATGGAAACCCGTTCTTGCGCGTGAAGTTGGCGGGTCTACCTGGAATCACTTTGCGTCAGTGTTAGCCGCAGTTGCTCACACTGGCATTCATGCCTCCAGCATTTCACGTGTTTGCCGTGGACACGTCAGCCATGCCAAAACTTGGGAGTTCAAGTATGCCGCCTACGAGAATCTGCCCGATGAGGAGTGGAGAGAAGTCATTCTGGATTGGTCATGTCCGCGCCCTCCAAGCTGATCCAGGCCGCAAGTGCCGGCATGTTGCGACTTTTACAAGCAGCCTTCGATGGCGCTCTCGTCAGTCATGATGCTGTCATATTTGCTCCCGGCCACAACCAAGCGGCGAAGCCGCTGAGCGTGCCAATTTATAATTGATTGCAAGGATGTGAACGTATTGCGTGTCAGTCAGAGGAGGCAGTCACCATGGCAGTGTTATTTTCTTGCTCGAGACATTCACATTGGCATTTTTGTGAGCTATCGCTAGCTCTGAAGGGGGTAAATGATGTGCTTGTGTGGCACAGGTTCTTTTTTCTCAGAACCTCTATTTGAGCTTCAATGAAAGACAGGGCCAGAGAGTATTGTCCATGCTTTAAGTTGTACATTCGCTTGCAGGCATACGAATCAGAGGGTATGTGAATATGGGATGACTGCAAACCTTCATTTGCACTGGCAGTTGTGCACATCAGATGAAGACGAGGGGGTTTGATGGTTCGGTTCTCTGCCAGGATCAGGCTAATCTCAAAAACAGATGACCTACATATATAGTTGCTTCAACGTGCATTGGGGTATTTGCTTCTCGGAGTGTTCAGCTCGTCCCAAGTTTGTTCTTGGAGGAAAGAACGGACGGACAATGACCTGGCAGGGTTTGGCCAGAGTACCATGTCCACCCCGCTCGCTGCCGCTTTGAGCTGACCTTTGAGTGTAGCGTCGCACACCGTACATCCTCGCTGACCACTCAACAGCTGAGCGGCGTGGTTCTGGCGGCCTTCCTGAAACAGACAAATGTTGGTTGTTTATGCATTTAGTCAACCCACCCTTTGGTGAAATTGCATGAACCCCAAGCCCATGTCCATTGCCAGTCCAACTAATCATTCATGCGCGGACCTCTGAGTGCTGACTGTAGGATGGTTGTCCGGCCAGAGCGACCAATTGGACATTTGGTCTTTTGACAGGCTTTCCCTTCCGCCCCTTTCTTGAGCAAATAGTGTTTCCCCCTCCAGCAAGGGTGTCTTCACCACCAAAGGCCCTTGATCTAAAGTCACGTGGCCAGACTGCACGGGCAGGTCCCGTATGGGTTCGAGGACTGGGTGCCTCAAAATCGTTGCGGCTCCAAGGACTGCGGTTACCTTCAGCCAGCCGTTCGGCTCCCAGCGAGTTGGGCAGGGGGGCTTCGTGGGGTCCAAGTAGAATTCGTCTTGGATACTGTGGCTCAAGGTCCCTATAGCTGCTGTTTTTGGGTACATGCCAATGACCGGAAGCACGACATGTATTTGCCGAAATGAACAATCAAGTACGATAATTCCATGTTTATTCGATGGGCCCACTGAAAATGGATAGACATGCTTTTGATTGGTTTCCAAATTACCTGCCTGGATTCCTTGCGAAGGTTGTGCACATATCCTGGGCAAGTTTCTGCAATAGGCACAAGGTCAACCTTATGCTGGGGATTCCATATTTTGGGATGTGTTTGGCCAGTGAACGATCCATCATATTATGTCCAAGAAAATCGCCAACCAGCTGCAGAAAATCAGCTCATCAGCCAACATCCACCTAGCTGGGTTTGGGCGCGCCAGCAACGCGGGTTTCGCCGAGCGGTGCCACGGCTCCCCTCGAGGTCCGGCGGACCGCCGCCGGTCGGTCCGAGCGCAGCGCCGGGGCCCAAGCGCTCGTCGGCAGATGCGTGTGGGAAGGTGATCGGTGGTTTCATCTGGGCCTGTTTTCTGGGTTATCGGAGTTTCCCCCAAATATAGACGTTATATATTCATACATTCATATATGTATATACCTCAAGATTATGCAGTTGGGGCACAAAAAGAGAATACCGGGATCCTGAGAAAAGATACCATTGGGCCAGGGAAAACATGACTTTTCCACCCAAGCAAAATGAGGCCACCCTTTTGCGGCATTGTTCAGGTGGATAAAGTAAACGCAATTTCCTTGGACCCTGGTGACATGAAGTTACCGGCCAAAAGTTTGTTTAAATAGGGTCGGTGATTTGGCGATAGCCGCAAAACAGCCTAGTCTGTGGGTTAGACGGGGTGGACCATAACCTCCTAGTAACCTGTTGTTGATGCTATATGGGCCCGGAGAATCTATCAGGTACTTTGCATCTGTGAATATGAGTCACTATCACACTTATCAGAGAGTCTTCCAGATGGTATGCGTCGCCTGCGCATCCTGAAGTATTCACCGAACTTCTTCAAGGGGTCCCTGATCATGTGAACGGAACGAGTTGCGACCAATTGCTACTGGCGTAGCGTTTCATGTGCAAGAAGTCTAGCTATCGCTTGTTCGGGAGCCAAGGAATCGCCTGGAAACAGAATCCTTGCGCAGCGATGCTTTGAGATCCTTTGAAGTATAGTGGGATCCTTTTTTGGGGTTCATGGGATTTGTCATTTTGTTTTTGGGCAATTTGGCGCGTGGTTTTCAGCAAGACCTCATCATGTAAGACCATTTCAAGTCATCCACCGGTGCCACCGCACAGATTTAGGGCCTCACCGTCCCAGGCTTCAGAGGAGCGGCTCCCACGAGACGCCCGGGTGCCTCGACGAAGGAGAATTTGCGGAGGGCATTTTGGACGCTGGTGGATGCCATTTGGTCGTCGCTCTTTCCCAAGGCTTCGAATTACCACTGTAGGTAGCCAGGCTGCATACGCATTGGGTTCGTGGTGCTTTTGGCAAGTACAGGGGGCTGCATGATCCCCAACTTCCCCCAGCGACTATTTGGGACCCGGGCATCGATCAGTAAACCTGCAACACCCGAGCACCAGTCAGTCAGACCATGGGATAAAGACGTGTTCTGACCCAAGGTGTTGAACTGTTTGCTGCAACGACCGAATGTTTGAAGACTTGGCCTTGTAGCCCCGCGATGACAGCCCGCCCAAGCCACGCCTAGAAGATCCTAGAAGGCTGGTATGGTGTTTTCCCTTGTTTGTTTTTGGAAATGACAGCCCCCTCCGAAACTGTTTGATGTAGCAACCTCCGTCCAGCGGCCTCGACTGTCCAGTTCCTCGCGCCGATCCTCGCGGGAAATGGGGTGCGGCGCTCAATACTTGCGAGAGAGCATTCCGTTTCTTTGGGGCCGTATGGTTTTGGCTGCGATCGCTCCTTTGCTGGGATTGTTCCAGTTTTGTTTTGTCTCAGCTTCGGATGGTGGATTCACGAAAAGAGGGAGAAAGCGGAAATGACACGAAAGACTGGGCTGTCAAACTTGCTGTTGCATGCTTTATGGCAGAGTTCTGATTAATCTAAAGATACATGAAAGCTTGTGTAGTCTGTATAATATGCGCATGCTGCAGGAGTAAACAGTCTTTTTGTGCTGCAGAACTGGAAAGCGCGCTGTCGGGGTTCCGCCAGCGGTTGAGTACTTGCATGCCAGCTGGGCTGAGGCGTGCGAGATCTGGATCTGGGGAGATGCTGGGAACTCAGCTGCCTGCTTAAGTCATGAGGACATTGCTCAGACTCCGCCAGCATGGTGTCCCTTCGGTTTTTGGTCCAGAGTGTGCATGCTTGGCCACACCTACACATGGATCAGCCGCCTGCTTGTGTCCATGGGACGTTGAGGGTTCACGATTTGGCCCGTAGGGTAGTGTTGTTGAGCTCAGGTTGGGAAAGGGTTTGAGTCAGGCAGTTTGAAGGAATATGTGGGTTTACTGCTTTGGGGGTTGGGGTGCGCATAGAATTGTTATATGTTAGGGCTTGGGTTTCAAGGCTTTGTAGTCGTTGGTTGCTGCGATTTAACTTACTTCTGTTGGCAAGATCCGCAAGCCGAACCATTGCCTTGGCAGCAAGCCTATATATAAGTCCATTCTAAGGCTTTGAGCAGCTGGGCGCTCGTAATTGGATGAGCCGTTGGGACTTGTTGCAACGCGGCTGACCGAATGGTCGCTGTGGGCAACCCCTTCGACATGCGGCGCAGAGTGACACCAAAATGGACCCCAACAAGTGCCCCCATGTTTGACAACCCTTCCCATCTACCAGGCCTCTAGTTGCCGTTAAACACACCGCTGCACATGCGGAGCTCTCTGAATAAAGAGGCTTATGCTACCTCACCCGTTTTACATCCAAACATATCGACCGCGCTTGCTGTCAGCGCCAAGCAACCTGCGGCAAGAGCCAAGGCCCGTGGCGAGGCGAGCCCTGTCTGGGGAAAGGCGGCTGCCTCAGCCGAAAGCTGCGGCGGACGGTGGGGTAAAGGTAAGGTTACGTTTCGCCATGCAATTCTAATTATGCCATTTGCATTGCTGCATGTCAGCAAGCTTAGCTGCTGATTCTCCACAATTGATTCTGTACGGGTACCTTGGCGTGGTGCTTTTCCAGTGATGACTGAGGCCTTCGCTGCAAAGAAGTGGCTCTGGAGAGAGGCCCGGGCATACCTGTTTCACAGGAGGTGTCGCAGAGCGGTCAACAAAGAGGGAACAACTTGTCTGTGCTGAGAATAATGGGCTTGTCTCTGAGCAGAAGGACCCCCCCGCACCCTAAATGTAAATGGGTGCGCAGACGTGGAGCCCCTGGTTAGGTTGCTCTTTGCAAAGAGATAAGGTGAAGAAGGAATCCCCCAAATGGATGGTTTCACTTTGGATTCCCTTTCAGACCCCCAAGAACGAAGCACGCCCGGATGCGGAATTTGCAGTTTGGCTCATTGAACAGAAGCCATGTTCGGACTATCCAAGAGGGCAGCACATTTTGAGTTCACAATGCCTCCATTGTTTGAATCTGGTGAAGGACAAGGTAAAAGCAAGGAGACTCTAGCAGGAAATGTCAAGGCTTGGGCGAAAGACATCAATTGCACCTTCCTTGCCACGACCATAGACCCCCCGGCTGAGGTGCTTCGGACACCTCGCAAATGTGCTCTGGTTTGGACCATGCTCCTTCAAAGGGAAGCAGCTGTCTCATTCTATATATTATGAAAGGCACGTGTGTGCTGCTCATGAGGGTCATGGCTCTTGAAAACATGGGTCCCACAATGTTCGCGCTCCCACTCCCTCTTTCTGCCTGTGGTCTCGCCGTACCAAAGGAATTGCAAGAGCTGGTCCAGTGTCGCAATCTTAGCCGCCTACTGCAAAGAGCAGATGCCAAACCAGCCTTGGGGCTCTTTGAGTTTTTTCGTTGTGGGGGTAGGATTGTAGTCCTGAATGCCAGAGCCAATGAGCCGACATTCACTGCCCAGTTCCGGTTCTTAGTGACGGACTGGGAACCCGCGTGAGCGGCACAGGTTCCCCTTGGCGCGCACACGCTCGAGCTCGCCGGGAGCCCCAGTGGTTGCCAATCAAGCTGCGGTTGCCCGAGGTGGCTTCTATTCCATGGCTTTTTTTGACGTACAATTTGTGCGTAGGTTCAGATGACTTGGTGTCGCCCGCATCTTTACATCCAGAGCCCGTCTGGGGTGGTTCCATCCTGTGTCCAAGATTTTGTTCAAAACCACAAACCACCTGCACCTGTCGACTGTATCCTTGATCTCCAGCACTCATGAGGTCAAGGCCTCCTTCCAGGGAGCAACAATCTACGGGTCCGCGTCAAAAATAACAGAGCCCCCTTTCTGACGGTTTTTGTAGTACACCCTGGGATTACACCCTTGGGAAAAGACCCAGAACGGTTCAACATAACACGGTTTTATCCGGAAATGCGGCTAAATGGGGTCAACACCCAGTGGGTGTATTCCCAGGTAGTACAAAAACCCTCAGGGTGTATTCCCTGGGAGCCCAAAGGATGATTATTCAGGTGTATTCCCTTCTGGATGGTTTTGAAGTGGAGCCCAAAGGAAAGCCAATCCTCGCAGGTCCAGTGGCTTCGAAGCGCCGCCCGATGCTTGGCGTAGCCCGACCGTTGGGTCTTTGGGATTCCTACTCCCTGCGGATTAGAATGTGGCACCCACAAAGCCACCAAGTGAAGAGGAGTCCATCTGCTTTTGAGGGACTACGGGATACCTTTTGGGGTCCCGGTCAGTTTGCGGTGAGTACGGTTGTTGAGGGGCAGCTGCTCACCTGAGGCAACTGCAAAGAAGCGGCTCGGGGGAGCGGTGCGCCACTCAGGGAGGTTGCGAGAACATCCCTGAACATCTCTACAAGGAAGCAACAGTGCCCCCAAAAGTTAGATTCCTCTACCCTCGCAACAATTAACATGGAGCCTCAAAGGGGTCCTGGAAGACCATTTTCCTTTTAAAGGGACCCCGGAACCGGCTGTTAATTGGTGGGATGGATTTTTGTTCCACAATGTGGCCCACAATTTCTGGCCGAGTTGAAATCGTCTTGCAAGAGTCGCAGCAATTTAATGCTCGATGTTGTCTGACAGATCAAGAAGCTGAGGGCTCAGTGTCTTGCTTGGATAGGATGGCCAAGCTCGAAGTTGTGCACCCTCGCAGATGGATTGCCTTTGATTCCCTTCAATGCCACCGAAAAAAGGCTCTTCAATTTGTGGAGCACCCTGCACGTGACACCTGAGGTTCCCCATGACGCGCACCAGCTCAAATGCCTCTCAGCAGTGCCCTCAAGTCTGACAGTCAGCGACGGACAAGATTGCCAACAGCCGGGCCATGTGAGCTTCATGTAGACCCTAGAACCCTAGGCACGTCATATTCTGTGCAAGGAGTGGTTCACACATTGTGGTTGTGCAATCACGTCTGGGAGCTTCGCCAGCTACACTTTCCAGCTTAGCGTTCAGGGAATGAACGATCGCAGACCTGGAGTTTTTGTTTGTGTTCTACAAAACGGCCCTGGGCTTCTGGCGGTTCAGCTCGCAGGCGCCAGATCTCGCGCTCGCACAGCGAGGCGGGTCCACTGGGCCACTGGGCACCGCCGCGTTTGGAGCGGCACAGATGTCTCACCAGAGAAAACCCTCGTGAGCCAGGAGATCTGGGCGATTGACGAGGAGAGACTGGAGAGGCGAGCCTGGTCGCATCGGGGAAGTCCGGCATCAAAGCGGGGGGGTCTTGTTGATGGAGTTGGCTTGCTTCCATTTGGTTCAGGCCCCAGGGAAAAAATAAATAAATCCAGTAGTGATGAATTCCTGTTAAAACCAGCAAGGGAAGATAGACAAATATTCTTAAGCTCATGGAGCCTTGTGTTGCCCTTGATCATTTTCAGCAATCACCTGATAGCCCTGCTCCGCAGTGTATGTTGATGTATGGAAGGTATCGCAGCAGAAGCCTTGCATTTGGTTGAAATACTCTCGCCTGGAGCTTGTGAGTCTGGTAAGCAGTCGATTCGTGGGGGCCATATTTTGGAAGGATCAAATATTAATGGCGCTTTGTGCGGTGGTTGGGAACGAAATCAACCTGAAACTGGGCACTTTGCTTGACGGAAGGGCGGGTGCCGGCAGGTATCGCGCCGTCTTCGCACGCGCGGACGTTGATGGGGATGGCTTTGTGGAGCCTTCAGAGGCGCTGCCGTTGGCCGTTTTAAGGGCCTTATTAGGGTCTTGTTTCTTGCGGAAACAGGGGCTAGGGGGTAGATCCCGTGAATCCTTCCTTCCATGGCACCTGGGCGCCGTCAACAGGAAGTTGATCTTCCAGGTACCCTGCCTTTGGGCACACACACACACACACACACACACTGCTAGCGGGTTTATACCAGCTGGGTATGTAGCAAACGTGTAGGGACCCTTTCAGAGGGTGTGTGTTGGTTAAGTTTCCTTGAACACCGGCCCAGGGCCTCCTGTTTTTGATGCGTAGATTGATGCAGAGGTGCCTGTGGCTTCGATATGGCCAATCCATGCATCCACCATGGGGTTGCGGCGAAATGCAGGGTTCACCTCTCGATACCAATTTTTGCTGCAAATTTGCTTTCCCTGGAACAGTGCAGGGAACTCTTCGAAGGGGTTGCATAGTTGGGATCAATGGCTCAAGCGTGGCTGAGAATTGCCTCCTTGATTTGCCCAGGGGTTGGCACAGAAAAAGCAAGGCTGGAAATTCCAAACACCCACGATCGGCCACAGAAACTCCATCCGTCCGGTTAGTTTCCTCCTTAGTTGCACACATTTGCATGGTTGCAGTGCGCTTCTTACCTGCTGCCTTGGGCTAAGCCAAAACGAAATCCTCGCAAATTGAAGGTTAGCAGGGGACAGGGCCAACCATTTCGAGGCGGCTAATTCGCTTTTGATTCCTTGCATGTTGCCGACCAGATTTCGTGCACACCATGCTTTGGCTGCGTGGTTTGACCCAAGAAAAGCCTGGCTTTATTCCTGGTCCATTCAAGTGACATGTTCAATATTGCACTCCAAATTGTGGTTTCAAGGGACACCCCTGAAAGTCATTTTGAGAACCTGACACCATGCAACCACGCTGGGACCCGCTCGCACTCCTACCGGGCTCTTGCCTTCAGGCCAGAGATGTCCTAGCGAAGGCGTCTTTGCCGGAGGCGCCCGAGGGGGGAGGGCGTGTTGATGTGGGTGTGGGTCAAAAATCGGGTAACCCCAAAATGGCTTGCCCTAAATGGAGACAAGGACTCAAATTCTGCGGTCTTGGGGCGGTTTGATTTTGACCCATACCCCATGTCTTTTTTTGGTGAACATGATGGCATTGCACGATGCTCCTGTGTCAGTCGTGCTGTCAGCTGCTTGTAAAACAGTCGGAGATGAGAATTGGCTTCGTAGTGGCTAATTCTCATATGTTGGACATTTGGGGTGGAGAAAACATATTCATGAATTTGGCGCATTTCGTCAGTAACAGGGTGCATTTATTAATAGGGGGAAGCCATTACATATATATAATATATGTATGAAGGTTAGCCTGCAAGAAACGTACTGTAGATGCGGCTGCCGAGTTGACATTGATTCTTTACAGTGTTTGGATTGACCCCTTGAAAACCAGATTTGGATTGTGACTCAAGTGAGCCAACCCGACCCTACTTTGAACATCACTTCTCCGCAGGAGGAGATGGCGCAGATTTACACCCTGTCGGACGCAGATCAGGAGAGCCACTGGGTCACTGGTGCACTGGCGTTAACGTCCGCGTGCTGCCAGAAAGCACCTGGCGGCGTCTAAACGTTTGTAGGATTCTCTTTGCTCTTTATTTGATGTTCTATCACCTGCAGGTTTGGAGCCAGTCACTTTGGACATGGATCCAAGCACCTTCCCTGAGAGTCATTTAGGAGCTCAGGCAGGAGTACTCTACGAGGGAAGAATGAACACACACACACACACAGCCCTGCTTGCTTCGGAATTGGGAAGGGTCAAGTCTGACCTCTGTAGCACTTGTTTGGTACTTCAGGGCGAATGTGGTGCTGGATTCGGCCTCCAAAACGTCACCCTTGATCCCCCACTCCCCCCCGCCCCCACCCCGCGAATTTTGCTTCAGGACGGCCGGCTCAGCGAGGGCGAGTTTCTGTGTGCCCTCCACTTGGCCTTCCGGCGCAGCAAAGAGGCCGCCTATTGCTCGCTTGCTCGACGTTGGAAATGTTTGGGGGTCGGGAGCCAAAAGCCTTGTCAGCAGTGCAGAAACCCGCAAGCTTCGAACTGGATGGGATCGCAAAAGATGTTTGTTGCGAACAACCGTTGCAGCTTCAACGCGTGTCTTTGGATTGTTTGAAGCTTGGCTTCTCAGGGGAGCAATGAGCCTAGTCATTTATGAAGTCTCCGCTCGACGGGAATTGACTTCCCGGTGCAAGTGGCAACATGACAGGAAAGGGTGAGGTCAAGGTTCCACAACGCTTCGTTCCGCATACCTACACAAGCTTTGTTTCCCTGGGTGACTTGTAGCTAGCAGAGGTGATGAGTTAATACCCCAGTGCAGGTGGTCACTTTCAAATTGGATTGTCGCCTTCATGTTCGTCTCTCTTCATCCTTTCAATAGCTCACTCATGATGGCTGAGTAGTGTTCAGCGTGTGAACTCCTGAGCGGGTGTAGTGATGTAAGACATGATGCGCGATCAATTTGGGCGGTGCTGGCTCTTTTTCACTGGCAACCATTTCACTTTCTTGTAGTACCGCCCTGAATGGCTGAATGGCGGGTAGATGGGGGGGGAGCGATTTTGGCCACCCCCTTTTATGAGATGAACGCTTGCGCGCTTTGAGCAGGGACCTGAGAAGCTTGCGCTTCGCCGCTTTGTGCAGAATGCCATGGCTATAGGTGCCTTTTCAGGTCAGGTTGGCTGAAAATTTGATCGTCCCGGCTTCAGTTTGGCCTTCATTTACCAGTGCCATCCAGTTTGCCGAAAGGGCACCAGGGTTATTGTAGGCCGAGGTTCATTGGCACTCCGATTTTTCTGGGATTCCCGCAGACAATTTTCGGGTTCAAATCAGTGATCCCGGGCCCTGTCGTGCTGGAGCCTCAGACTCTCGACTGGAAGCGTCCCACTTAAGGCTTTGTGACTCTTCTAGGGGCTTGCCTTCCCAAAAAGCCTTCTTTTCCAGAAGACCACACAAACACGGGATTAAAAAAGACCGGGACTTGAGCAGAATGGGGGACATCCAACTGGAACTACCAATGCTCAACCAAAGGGCATAGCAGCAAATGAAACAACAGAAGGCAGCAAGCGACAGCCATCACAGCCGCTATTACGTCAGCAGCTGCAACAGCAGTATCTACAGCAGCAACAGCAGCAAACAGCAGCAACGCAGCAACACTAGCAACTAGCCACAACCTCCTCCCTGTTGCGTACTTGCCCCGCATCCCAACTCACTGCATCTCCCAATTCATGCTTGAGAGGTTGTCACAGTTTATAGCTTTGTGCTTTTTGGGAGGGACAAGCAAACCTGACCCAGCTAGCTTAGAGTGAGACCTGAATTGACTCGACTGATTTCGAAAATTACCTTTCACCAAGTGTCCAACCCCCCACAAGCGGGTTGTCCTCATACCCCCCTGGCATGGTGCTGCAAAGGGACCAACAGGAAGTCAACCAACCATCTTCAGGGGTCCCCAATGCGGTAAACGCTGGTTTTCATGGGGCTTCTCACACTTGACCTCTTTCAGATCTTAATTTTGGGCAACCCTCCGCACCCAAGCTTCCCACACTCCCAGAGTAGCATAAACCATCAAAAACCCCCGCAAGCCATCAATGTTTAAAACATATCATTCCGAGTGGCCCGCCCTTGTGGGCGTTCCCTGTTTTTTGCCGGGCAGCATCTAGCTGAGTCAAAGTCACTTCTGGAAGTAAGACCCCACCCAAATCCATGTACAGAATAAACGCGCGCGGCCGCACCCATGTATGGTTCGGACTGCAGTACCCTTGTTGTCCAGGCAGATGGCCGGCAAGGGCATTCTGGCATGCAACCCCTTCCGGGAAGTCTGCTGCTCAAACAGCGCGGCGGAACACTCGGACGTGCCTTGGATGAGAAAGACTGAGCCGTTCGGCACGTCCATTGCCAGACTTGGCTTGCTTTGTCCGGTGCTTGAACTTGTTGCTTTGTTTGGCTTTCCTTCACTTTCCCTAGACCCCGAAAAAGGGGGATTGCCGTTATTTGTGTAGACGGAGTGGAGAATTTCCGGCGATTGCGACTGGGTGCATTTTGGACAAGTGCAGCAGATTGCACTGTTGCCACAGAAGTAACATTTGCGAAATCAGCTCATCCAATTTGTTGCTTGATTGCATGGTGACATGTGCTTGGATTAGTGGATGGGCCTGGAATCAGGGAATCAGGGACAGAGGCTTTCCGCGAGCGCGACTTTGGCTGCAAGTTGTCCCCGAGGAATTCCTCAGCCTTGATTGTGCTCAAGATCGGTATATGGGACGAAGGAGGGGCACTGGATTTCCCGCTCAAGAGTTGCAATTGACTGGTGGATTCCACTGAAACTGCCCACTTTGGGAGGTTCCCAGAAGGGAAATGGAGGAACCCCTGTCTTCACTTGCCCTGAGTGTCAAAAGCAACCACGACCTCTTGTCGATTGGAGTGTGGGTCAATAGCCTAGCAAGTGGGCCCAAGTTGACCCCGTGTACACTCTGGTCCTTTCAACCAAAGACATGCACTTGTCACTGATGCATCCGTTCGGCACTGGGCCTCAGCTTCCAAACGCCAGGCCTAGTGTGGTGGAGCTGTGTGGGATCTAAGAGTTCAAGACCGCTGAATGCCAACCATGCGGAACTGCGTGCAACAAACTTGCTGGTTCTTTGGTCTGTGATAAGGATTATTGGCGTGAACTTGCTCGTCTGCCCCAATTGAAGAGGAGTCACATCATTCATATGTTACGCATGGAGTATTTGACGCGACATTGATCTAATAGCCAGGACTGCTTGCAGTTAACCACATCAGCCCTCGAAATAATGAAGCAATGTCCAGTCCCCTGAGCAAACAAGCACGAAGTGTCCTCACAATTGTTTCAAGTCAATGTTTCCTTGTTTGCTGCCAATAGTTGGAACCACCTCCCTCTTTCATAATATATGCATGTAATATCCACCCACATTTACTCCCAAATGGGTCAACTGTGGGTGTATATATATATATACAAAAATATTAACCTACTCGGATTCCCTGGGAGTTATTTGGGGATAGGTGTCGCAGCTCGCTAGGTCTACGATGGCGCGCAGAGCCAGACCCTCATCTATGGCGAGGAGGATGTGGCTCCAGCGCCGCAAGTGGCTAAATTAGAAGGCGCGGTGACCGAGAGATGCCCCGCGAGTGGGAGCACGAGTGCGGTGGTGCAGCTTCCTGGAAAGCCATCTGCAACTGGTGGTGGCTTCACTGTTGGCATTTAGGTTCAGTTTGTCTGTTTCTCTTCATCTTTTGTGGGGGGCTGGAAATCAAACAGCATTTTTTGCCGGAAAGAAAAGGTAAGGAAGAAGTTGGACATCTATTCTTTTGAGCCTTTGGGAAACAAAGTGAGCTATAGATTGGGTCAACCACCGCACTCAAGCTACGGGTCTTTCCTTATTATGTGTCACATCGGTCAAGAAGGTTTGAGTCCGGGTTTGCGCGTTTGGCTTTGAGTGTTTGCCAGTAGTTGTTGTTTTTGTCAATTGAAGGAAAGAGGTGACCGGATATACTTGCGTTTGGCGTTGAAACGGCCGAATGAACAACTGCTGGTTGGCAGGCAAGCAAATGCAGGCCAGCAAATAGATCTCATTTGCCATCTTTGATCGAAACCACCCGGCCATTTTTGTGTTCCCTCTGCCTGTGCTCGCGCCCAGCTTTCCTGCTGCCCAGCTTTTGCATTCACGTTGATACTCAAGAAGGACCCTTTGCACCAGGCTCTTTGTGTGCACATAAACAGTGGCAGGGGCGCCAAGGGCGTAGTTCCTTGTCAATTTTCCGGGGGGGGGAACAAGGTTTTGTTTGTTTTGTTTTTGTTTTTCCCGAGTGCGCGAGGACCTGCGACGGGGGCGAAGCTCGCCGACCTGGTGGAGAAGCCGGAGATGGAGGTGGAGGGCGGGGCCAGATACAAGGGCCAGTGGCGAGGCAACATGAGGCCGGATTGGGTGGGCTTGGAACGTCAGGGTGGATGGGTGGGACCGGAAGGAGGGGCGATGGGCAGTGAGGATAAAGGTACGTGGGTATGGGTCAGAATTCAAACACCAGGGGACCGCAGGTTTTAGTCCATGGTTCCATTTACCAGGGTTTCATTTTGGGTGACCCACAGCCATGTGACATGATGGGTCGGATTGAAGACTCTTGTAATGTTCATCTCTGGTGAAGAATCTCACTGTAGTTGTTCTAGGGGTACCTTCCCCGTTTTTTTCAGGGATCCGAATTTCTTTGCAGGAAACCATCAAAAACCCAGGGGAAACGGATCCGGTTTTTGAAAAGAACGATAGAGTTCTAGGCCTAGCGGTCCTCCTGGGGCCATGAAAGCCATGCCATGGACACATGAGCGTCACAGATTTAACTTGATCACCTTGGGACGAATGGGTGGGTCGTTTTTTGAGGTTGGACCCTCCCAAAATGGTTGTTTTCCTTTGAAGCCACAAAAAGGGGAACCCTCTCCAAAAACGACACACCCAAATGCACAAGGAACTTGTATCCAACAATACATCCAGCGGGTCGCCTGCAATCATGCATAGCCTTCATGAATCCACCCATACTGCAAAGTGCTCCAGCAAGAAACACGATCATCAGGCAGGCTGTTTGTTCTTCTTTCGAATTTGGCTACCTATTACTTGCTAAGCACTGATTGACAGTTGTACGGCACCACTCCCAGAACAGCAACTCAACTGTCCAAGGCATCGAAGGACCTTTTGGTTTCCCCGTGTTGGTCGGCTTTTCCTCATGACTCCAAGAGGTCAACTTTGGCTTGCCAGGATTCTTTAGACAACCCAGTTTCCAGTTGCACGGTTTTCTCTTTTGGGTGGATGGGTGAGGGGTGGGGGGTTCCCTTGACATCAGCCCTGCTGGTCAGACTCCGACTCCCTGCCAGGCACGGTGTCGGCGTCCTGACGCGGGCGGACGGCCACCGTGGCTCGGAAAAGGTTGCGCCGGTTGCACCTCTTGAAG